ATTATTATTATTATTATTATTATTATTATTATTATTATTATTATTATTATTATTATTATTATTATTATTATTATTATTCTATTATTATTATTATTATTATTATTATTATTATTATTATTATTATTATTATTATTATTATTATTATTATTATTATTCCTTTTCCAAATTCTTTCATGTATACATATATCCTGTTATTTCACGCTTGTTCACCAAGTCCTTTTGGTGAAATTGTCGAAATACTACGGGGAAAGTCAGGGAAAAGTAGGAAAATAGGGGACCTTATAACAGCAAAAACCTACTCTCATATCTGGCATTAGCGTCAGGGTCATCCCTAAATGCCAACGTAAGAGAAGCAAGCTGCTGATTGATGTAAAGATTCTATCTTCGCATAATATACGACTAGCAATCATTTCGTTTACCGCGTTGGAAAAAACGGTTATATCTCCTCACTTTAGTTGTGGTTTGTACAGTCTAAGTGGGTTTCCATCCAGCAAAATCATACACTACTTCAGAGAAAGCAATGAAATTGAAGGTAAATTTCCCGCTGTCGTGATAAACTTACTCAAATTATTAGACATGAATTCGGTGTTTTCGAGGTATTGATTGACTCGATGAAAAAGGATAGTCAGTCAGGACGGTTGGTTGTACATTTTGCTACTTCTTGTTTTAAAGTTCTGGCTTCTAGGGATGTTTATTGTTACAATAGTTCTAAACTGATAAGTTGCAGGGGAATTAGATAGCGTTGACATTTGAAAACGAGACATTTGGATTAGGGTTTTCGAAATAACCACTTATCCGTGGTCCATCATTGAAGTTGAATCAAGTAAGATAAAAACTGATCCGAGGGCCTTATTGCATGTTCAGCATGTTGTGGTGTAAGCGCGGCCGTACTATAAAAATTTCTGTTGTGCCCACAACACGGGCACTCTACCCAGCAGAAAACTACCTATCAAAAGGTGGGATCTACACAAGTGATGTGCAGGATGCGGCTCTCCTAATTATCCTACTTTCGTTCCTTTCTTTAACCTTATCTCCACATGTTATATTACCCATAAAACAATGTGGTGGTCTTCCCAATACATGTGATATTATGCATTGTTAATTATGTCTAGTAGGACCTACATTAGGCCGTGGAGAATGATCACGTATATCTTTGTGTTTTGTTTCTTTTTTGTATCCGCTTGTGTTTTTTCAGAAAATATAGGAGCCACTGATCGCCGAGTGAAAGCGATTTTATGGGGAATAATCTGAGAGGAGGTCAGTTTCAGTTTTGACTTCATTTCGTTCCGTTCTGAATTTTCTCAGATTCAACTGTTTGATTTTATAAAGCTCTTGTTATAAATGTGCCAAATTAGGCAAACATAAGTGATAAGATCTGAGTCACTCTAACCAATATGAATCAAAGCAGCAGCTTTTTTCTGTTAGAGGGATTTATGACTGAAACAAAAAAATACCTGCATTTTTCAATGTAACACGCAGCCTTTTGGCTTTAGTTTTTTTTCGCCCAGAGTGATTTTGGAAGATGATAAACCGCTTCATGATATCATCTTGAATAGTATTCGTTGCGCTAGTTACTTTTTTGCATGTATCAATAACCTCTTATATGTATGATCAAAATCCACTGCATCAGCTGTAAATTAATTGAAGACAGTTTTGCGTTTCCGGGAATTTTCACATGTTGCAAAACTGTCCTTAACCATATATTTCGTTTTTTTTCTCAGGAATTTACAAGTTTATTAAAATTTTAAAGTTTCAAAACTTTGAATTTTGATCAAGTCTTCAAAAAAAAAAATTTTTTAGTTAAATCTAAAGATTTACTACGTTTCTCATTTATTTGTTAATCATGCAAACACTAAGTCTGCTGTGAAAATTCCGGTATAAGAAGTTCTTCAAGCATTTCTTCACTACATTGTGTTTTGAGAAAGCAGGATAATTTCAGTCTCTATTGTCATTTTTATATAAACTGGGAGGTAAGGGGCGATGTCCTTCGTTTTTATTTTTTCCTGAATTCAATGCGCAGGTTTCCTTATAGGATTAAAGTTGCTGATTACTGAGCAGCAGAAAGATGGGTTATCAGAATTATCAAGAATATTATGTTTAAAGTAGCAAGGTTGGGTTGAAATGGAAACGAGATTTTCCATTTCAACCGAACTTCACTACTCTGAACAGAAAAGCTTGCATTTCCCATTTCATGTATCATGACGCACTCGAAATCATTACTAGCTATTACTGGAGGTAATTTTTTACACAGTTGGTATAGATTTTTCTCTCTACCTATGTTTTTTATAGTCTTTAAGTTGCCATGAGAAAAACTAGTATCTTCTTTTGAAATTTTAATAACTGCAACTCTTACAATAGTTTTTTCCGACTTTCTTGAGCATCCTTTTGTAGAGATAGTCCTCGGTGCAAACGACGCAAGTTGGAGTACTAGCAGTAAGTGAAAGACTTTTCAGTAATCTCTGCAGTTCTTACTGTTAAAGTTAGCTGATTTTAGAACGGAGTTACGTTGTTCGTGAGAGTGATGATGATCCTTCTTACGGATGTCCGTTCAAGTTCAGCTTATTTGTTTTTCACCATACAATTCATTATTTCCTTATCCTCTTTAAAGATTTACCTTCAATTTCACGCCTTTTTCTTGCTGTTTTCATCGATTCATCGTCAAAATTTAAGTAGAAAATTACCGTCAAGCTATTCCAGAACGAAGGTTTTGTTCTGCTCAAAAACTGGTTTGCTTGATTACGGATGGTTGTTACTGATAAATAGTTGGAAAGGATACTAAATAACGCAATACTCACCTTGTTCTTCAGTTTATGAGGGAAAATGTTGGTTTAAGTGTCATTTGCTGCAATCCTTTTCATTCTTATCGTTCTTATTCGCTTTATTATCGTTATTAGAGAAACTAGGTGTTGATGCGAAGTTATTAGAGTAACAGAGGTAGTTGTGGGCGTTTGAGATAAAATAAAACGAGGAGGGTGTTCGTCTAGTGGACCTCTTTCCTCATCTTGTTTTCTTTGCTGTCTTCATTGCCAGAAGTGTAACTCGCTCTGATAAAAGCTTTTCGTGCTACTCAAAATACACTAACTGATCTAGGAACTGGTTGAAATGGGTCTTCCTGCTGACTTCGTCACATTCAGTGCGTTTTAATGCCAACTTATGCTTCTTTTTACCAAGGCTTGTGTTTGTGTTCATGTGCTGCTAATTATCTGTTTCAGTGCCACTCATTTTTGCATTCCTTGCACCAAACTTTAAGATGTTTTGTTACTTTACTTTGCCGGCATGTCTGCAATCAGTAAGTTGTGTCATATCACAGCAATCTTTTTGAAAGCTTTGCAAAAGTTATCCTGATTACCTCCTGGTATAGATTTTTTTACACTATCACTTGGAAATTGAAACGTAAAGTTATCCTTTCTATCATTCAAATGTTGAACATTCCAAAGTTCATTTAAAAAAGCTTTCCAAAAACTATTTCTCTCTTTCTGGTGGACATTTTTCAAAAATGCTGATTTTGAGCTGATTTTCTAGCTCCCTATTTCATGGGCTTTGGTGGTGTTTGACAATTTGCGGTCGCAGGAAGTTTTGGAATGCATATTTAAATTCTTATGATGAAGATCAATCTCTTCGTACGATTACTGGCATAGGCATATATTATAGGAAAAAATCATACTATCTTTTACCACTTCTGATAATTCCGTTCCTTCTTAAGAATAATTAAGCAAATCCGATCACTCGGTATTGAATATATTCTAGATGACAAATCTCGAGATGATTGTAAACATGCCTTCTGTTTTGCAAGTCCATTTAGTTTATCTCCTGTTTCATTTGGCGAGAGTTTTGAAATATTCAGTTTAAAACTTGCATAGAAGTAAATCATTAAAAAAGAAATTCTTTGAGGAATTACATCGATTCAAGTCTCTGACTTGATGGCACAGAACAAGGTATATCGAATAATTCTGATATATTTCCTTCTGATATACAAAGAGTTATCCATTACAGCTTTATGAAATATACTTCTGCTGTACTTTTTCTTAAAGTAGGGTGCCGGGACGGGTGTAACTGCAAAAGAAGAAAATGTTGCTTGATTAATCGAATGAATATTTTGTCTTCTCCATGTGCAGTATTTACATTCCCCTTTATAGTACGAGTGCACAATGCAAACACCATTTCGATCCTGTAGTTTTTTACGATGCTTGCTCTTGTTCATAACTGATGATGTTGCTTGCTTTCTTTCTTTTCGCAATGTTAAGAAATGAACGATTTTTATTACAGAACTGCAGGAAAAGTGGAATTGAAAAGAGAAATAGAATTAAAATAGAGTTGAGATCAAATATAAGTATTATTAAATTAGTTGCTGTAACCATCGAAATTACTGTGAGTTGAGCAAATATGACATGCGTTGATGCCAAATATATGCATTCGATAAGCCACAATAGGAAAGCATAAGTATTGCTTTAAAAAACTAGGCTTTATATGTTTCATAAAAGGAATGAGGTTGTTAAATACAACCTATTACTAACTAATACGCAGTGAAGTAAACGTTTGCCACTTGGTAAGTGGCAAACGGTTAGAATTGTTTTATGATCGAGTGAACTTATATTCTTGTGCCTCTCTGCTCTCGCGGGTATGTTTTTGCGAAGTGTCATATCCCTTGCTACGGACTTTTTTTTTCGGAACAAATGACTTCTGATCGAGACGGTTTGCTTAAAAACGCATCCAGTGGTACGATATCCAGTGCTGGACCATCTGAGATCATTGTATCAGAATCATTAGACGATACGACTCCAAGTGAACTTAATGAATTTGGAGACTATGGAACTTTGAAAAGACTATTCAAAAAGAGTGCTGACATTCGAAGTAAATTTAAAGGTGTGTCCTGTTATACAGTTCACCAGTCAGGTCTCATATATATCTCCACTGTTTCTTCCCTGTCTTCTCATACTTCCTCACTTAATTTTGATTTTTTATGTTCTTGGAGATCTCATGTAAGGTATTGGTATTGATTGGATAGCACGTAATTGTTGGAAAATATTTTCATAATTCAAAACCGCATGTTATGAAATTTAAGAGTTCCTGGACAAGTATGTAGTTAAAATAACAAACTCACTGGTCTATTTTGCCAACAATGCGTTATTTTTTTGAAGGTCTTGAAAGACTATTGTTTCGTCCAACAAATAGTTTTCTCATTCGAAATTCAAAATATATGACAGATTTTTGGCTTCAGGAAGGTGCTGCCAACATGTTATACCATTCCGCTGACTTCGGATATGTTGTCCGGAGTTCTGCATTGAGTATTAGATTTATTTCCGCATATTAATGAATTAATAAAACGTTGTCTGAAGTATTTTCTACGGTATTGGTATTTTCTGCTTTGGCTTCAGCACTATGACATTGTGAATTGAATAAAGTAACTGAATTTTTCTTTTCTGCCTGCAAATATCCTTAGATACCTTTCTCTTTGTTCCTATACTCAAATTTTTTACTGTTAGTAAATGTGACCAATTTGATACTACCCGGTATCTTCTAAGTCCAGATGTTGGTGCAGCTATTTCATGGAGTCTCTTTTAAACGAAGGCTGCTGATGAAGGTCACTGAAAACTGATGAATTTTCTCCTTCACTATAAAAGACCTCAAACGTTATCGAATACGATGAGATACGAAACTTATCCGCGTTGTAGCAGAAGGAGAAAATTAAGTTTAAGATTAGACTTCAATATAGTGGGCCAATGCAATGTGTATTTCATTACCCAAATATATTTTTTAAAGGAAGCACATCTCTGGGTTATCATTCAAACTTTGGACAGCGGCATTCGCCATGTTGCTGAAGCTTATCTACAGTTTTATATCACTGCAGGAGATATTTTTATATGCAAAAAAAAAGAATTTTTTTTTTCTGAAGTAGTATATTATGAGATTCGACTTGACTTTTATTGTTGTATGTTCTTTAATGCAAGAAATTCATCAGACGCAATTCTTGCTGTACGAAGAGTGGCCGCCGGTAGCTTTCAGTAGATGAACCCTTATGGATTTATTACGATAAGTTGTCGCATCATTTTGCAAAGAAAATTTCCAGGAAATTGAGATTGACGTTTTCATATTTTATGGCATATTTCGGTCAGGAATTTTGCTTATCAAATTCATGTATTTTAATGAGGTTAAAATTTTCGAGTATTCGTAGAATTGAAATATACTCCACATATATAAGCGAGTGGTACTTTCTGGGTGCGGAAAGAAATTAAGCTAAATATGTTACTTTCTAGTGATTGGTTGAAAACCAACTTCATCTTTTTTTTTTTCAGAATCAGTTCCTGACGATGGGTTGCAAATTGCGAATTATGATGAGAATACAGTGGTGAATCAAGGCACATCAGAATGGCCTTTGCCACAGCTCACTTTTCATCATGTACATGGTTCCAATATACAAATTTTACGAGGAGGTCGAGTCGCGAGACGAAGGGAATCTTTCTGTAAAGGACTTGCCTTCAGCAGTCGGTAAAAAGTTTTTCAATTGTTCAACTAAGAATCATAGAGAATTCAAAAGTTTGAGCTATGAAGTCCTTTCGTGTATCGACTGCTTTTTGCTAAAGAGTGATATATTTGGCTCGCGAGAGGAGGGGAGTAGAAGGGCGAGAAGAGGAGTACTGTGGTGTGTTTTGCTTACGCGTAGCACAAAACGAATACTCAGGACCACTACGAAATAAGGCATTGATTCTTAATTAAGTAAATTAAGTCTTGAAATTCTCATACCTAGTTAGAGAATTTGTAGACAAATTATGTTCAAAATGTTGCGAACAGTTCAATAGTAATTGATTTCATTAGAATTGCTAGAGAGGCGAAATATTTTCGAAGGGATCTCAGTATATAGATAAGGTGCAGGTGCGAAATGCTGGAATGATTGTTATTAAACGATCATTTTTTGCGGATCCCTTTATTTCGTTTCTGCCACTTTGTTAAATGGATTCGGTGTTCAAATTTTAAATGAATGGATCCTGCTTCATTTGTGAAGACACTGCATTTTTGTTTTAAGGATGTCTTTTGTCCTCGTACGTTTAAATAGGCCGTCTTTGTTGTTGCTGGTGTACTGTCTAAGCGTTTCATTTTCAGTAGAGCATTAATTTATTCATATAAATTTAGATTTCACGAGCATTTTGTTCTCTTTACGATTTAAAAAAATATATCGTGGCGGTGTTAGAGTAAAGAGTAAAGCGAGGAAAAAAAAGCGAATCTTATTTATATAGAGTAAAGCGAGAAAAGAGTAAAGCGAAGCTTATTTGTCAAATGAAAGTAGCATCTTTTTTGAGATTTGCAAGCTTTCTCATCCTTTAAACATTTCATGTGAAATTTCATGTACAAATAGGTGTTGAAGGTTTCTTTTTTCATTTGAGTATAAATGTCTCAGCCAATTTTTCATTCAGGATCAATAATAATCGAATCAAGATTTTACAGGCCGATACAGATAGATGAGAATGTTTGCATTCGATTTGCTGAAGTGGTTTCAAATTGGTCTGGTGTTTTACGCTTCGGTGTTACAAATGTTGATCCAGAAACTTTTCGTGGCATCGAGCTACCAAAGTGATTTTTTTGAAAATTTCCATGGTTTTTTCGTGGTTTTATTTGGCAGTTTATAATTCCATTTTCCAATGTTTGTTGTTGCTTATAGTATATAATATTCAATTTTTTAGATTTGCATGTCCAGATTTAACGAGTAAAGAAGGATATTGGGCAAAAGCGTTACCCGAGCGCTACTCTGTCGCTGGTTCAATTTTGCATTTTTATGTAAATGCTGAGGGCGAACTTTATTACGGAATAAATGGTGTTTTGAAAGGACAGTTTCTGAATGGAATCAATGTGTTTTCGCCCTTATGGGTTATTGTAGATATATATGGGAATAGTTCCTCACTTGAATTCATTGGTAAATACTTTTTTCGAGAGTGATTGCTGTACATATACTTTTTTCGAAAGTGATTACTGTACAAAATCTTTTATAAACCGTTGTTCCGTAACGGGTCATTTGCATAATGAACTTGGCCATGATTCAGTTGGCTTAGCGAATTGATCTTTCATATTTTTTTGATCAGTTGGCCGTTGCGTTCCTGTTTGAAAATTAAGCAGTAAATTTACTAGATTTCTCATGATTCTGAATTTTCTTAGTGTATATATTCTGGTTTATTATGAGCGTTGCATAATGTATATTGGATTGTTCGTTGATTTTTTTGCGGTATAGCGTGAATCTCGTTTCGATAAACTTCGCTATTATTGAGAATATAATACAATTAGTTCCGTATATATCGTTGCTTATCCTGTCTATATCCAATTACTTTACAGACCCGAATGAAGTCAGGTTTCGGTCAGCACGGTCAGTGGTGAGTAGGAATCGTGCAAGCAGTCGTCCTCTTTCAGCAACAGTAGTCTCACAAGCACAAACTGCAACGACGAGCACTACGGCGCACCACCGACACCCTAGAAACAGTTTAAGTTCGCGGCCAGATTTGCCTCTTTCAAAATATCATACAGGCAAGATCTGTGTATCATTCCAGATAATTTGTAAACACTCCACATTTCGTTTTATTAGTATTGAAATGAATTTTTCAGGTATACAATTTAGACCGTTGACTTTTCATACTGTCCGTGGAAAGCATGTTGCTTTGACTCACGCTTATACTGTTGCCGAAAGACATGCTGGTGAATATGCCTGTGGTTATGTTTTCACATCCAGACCTCTTGCATTAAACGAAAAAATCGTGATTCAGGTTGCGTTTAAAATGGAAAACTTATTTGAAATTTCCATCTTAATTAAACAGTACCTTTTCGAGGCGCTTGTGAAAAAAAAAAAATCCTGGCTTGAGCGAAGTTTTATGCACTGTTAAAATTCTTTTTCACAGTCACATTTTGTTTTCAGATACTGGATATAGAGTCAGCTTATACTGGTAGTATGGCGTTTGGATTGACTTGCTGCGACCCGGTTAATTTACAAGGTTCTACACTCCCCGTGGATAGTGATGATCTTTTAGAAAGGCCGGAATACTGGGTTGGCATCAAAGATGTTGCTGCACAACCTAAAATTAGTGATGAACTGTCATTTTGGATTACTGAAAAAGGTGTGTTTATCCTTTTTTCAAGAATGAAATTTTTTTTTTCTAGAATGTTTTGCAATATTCTCATTTCATTATGGTATTTTTGAGGCGAGGTTTATTTTGCGAAGAACAACCTCACACCTCGCGTCATCATTCATGTGGATACATCTGTGAGGCTGTGGGCATATTTCGATGTTTACGGCACGACTCAGAAAATACGTGTGCTAGGTAATTTTGGATCTGAAAAGATACTGGGAAGCGTCAGACGATGTTCATTGTTAACATTCAGTTGAATTTGATAGAAGTAATATATTAATATGATTGGAAAGTTGTGATTTCAACTAACATGTTACCAGACATGTTTATGAATGCTTGGTCATGAAGAGTGCAGAGACTATCCGCTTTATTGATGAAGTTCATGTACAAGGTTTCAGAACAGTTTTAGCATCAAGTATAAAGTTTTTGTTTCTGTATAGGAAGTGTTAAAGTAACCGCAGCGTCTCAAATGGCAACGCAGCGTTTGCCGCCAATGCCAGCAGTCACAAGAACCTCACGCAGTTTGCTTGACTTATCCCCTGAAATACGAACAGATGCGGGAGGATCAAGCAGTGAATTGTAAGCTTTATCAAATTTGTAGATTATTTCTTGTTAGTTATACAGTATTTCGAATCAATCAAAAGAGCACTTGTTGCCTTGCCGTAAAAGCTTATGCATTGCTTTTGTGTGATAGCTCTTTTTAACCATGTTTCTCAGATCTGGTTTTCCAACGACGAGCACGCTTCTCGCACATACTAATCGTGAGGACTGTTCTCCTCTTTTATCCAGACGAACGCAATCAGAAACTGGTGACAGTTTGAGCGGAATGTTTTTACGTCTGCCATGTACTTCACGTAACTTTTTTGATCATTGTTCTTCATCAAACAAAAAAAAAAGCCAAATATTTTGAGTAAAATATAAGTAAAGAAGGTGGATAACTTGATATGAATGTAAATTTATCCCTATTCAGAAACAGAAAGGAGAGTACCTGCTTCAACGTCCACTGTAGCTAGGCCCTCGAGACCGGTATTTATGAGTGGGGAACATTTCATTGACTTGTTGGAAAATTCAAATAACATCCATGAACTGCATGGTAACGAATCTAATATGTCTCATCGATCACAATTTCCACCACCTCCAGTTCCAGCCAGGTACAAATTTGATTCAGATCTAGAATTATGCGTGTGTTTGCTAGTTTGAAAGTATGTGAAAGTTAGGAGTTAAAATTTTATGCGTATATTGAAGGACATCTCCTGTACGGTTTCTGCCTGGAAAACCACCTTTACATCCTTCACCGCGTCCGCTTTTACCTGCACAAACGGCAAGTCATCAACAGCGGTCCGGTGATGATGAAGGGGAAATTGGCGATGAATGTAGAATCTGTATGAACTCTAAAGTAAGTTTTCTCTTCTACCGAATCGCTAACGTTAATCGTCAAAACATATATCGAAGAAAACAGTAGCTTTACTGTTGCGGTGAGTGCAAGGAGTGGTTCGGTATTTAGGTTGGGTAGTTACCTATGATTTATATCTTGTGAAGGCATGCTTAAAAATTATTCTCAACGGCGACAGGCTGAGATCATTCATAATTTATTCGCTTACAGGTAAATTGTGTAATTTACACATGTGGGCATATGTCGATGTGTTTTGAATGTGCAACAGAAACATGGCACTTAAATGGGGAGTGCCCAATATGTCGCAAGAAGATCGAGGATGTCATCAAAATTTACAAGTCATAACGCCGTCTCTATCGTATGACTATCCTTCTAAGTTTTTGCTTGATGTTGCATTTTCTATTTCCGTTACCCATAAATCACTCGCTTACTGGATCTTTCTAAAAGTTCTATGTCTTTTATCAGTTTTTTTTGATTTTTAAAAACTGGTCGTTTTCTTGCGCAAAATCTTCGGTATCCATCGAAGCTTCACAGGCTGGACATTAGGGACGGTTCCTTTTCCCATACTTATGTCCTTCGCTTTTTTCTACTTCATTTCTTACATTAAATTCATTTGTTGATTTTGGTTGTGCGGTAATTCTTCGTAGTTAATAGGTTTCACTTGGTGATAAGAACAGTCAGCTATTCTCAAGTTAATAGATTCATTTTTACAAAAAACATATGCTGGACTGTTTCAGATTTTGATCACTTTTTATGAAAGCGATTATTATTATTGTTATCATCCTTTATTATCATCAATTGATTCAGTAATCTATGGGGAATATGTAAGCGAAATGTAATTTTTTAATTTGTTTCCTGATTAATACTGGCATTTTAGATTTCATCGTACAAGTCTTCGTGGATTGTTGCAGATTATGGAAGAGTACAGAGAGTTACCTTTATTATTCAACCATATTTTGGGTGGCTCTTGATCAGATGTTTAAGTTATGGGATATATTGTTCATTTTTTCTTTTATGGAATTTCTCGAACTGCATAACATAATATTGCAATCAAATTCCGGTATGTTTTAATACTTTACTATTGTGTATTCATTTTTTTCGCTTCGCATTCTTTCAGTTTTTTTTACTATGTAGGTTGTTAATGCGATTAAATTTTCTCCTTTATTTATCCATAGAATATATACGCGTTGCTTGTTGTAAAGACATAGTTCTCCTTCACTCGCACTATGATTAATTCGCGCAGTTCTTAGCTGTTTTTTGTCATTAACTGGGATTTATGGTTTTTTAATGTTATTGGGATGCTCTGAGGCTTAATAATGCTTCATTGATATGTTGAGACATAGTAGTATGTTGTTCAGTTTTGAAGTTCACAAGTAGGAATAATTTGTGGATATAATGGATGCACCTGTGCCTTCTTCATTCACCTGATTTCGGTTTCTGTGTTATCATTTACTGCGCTGATGAATGTTTGTGAAAGCTCGACTTGAGGTCTAACTTTTGCGTATTTCTTGAGTTTTTTAAATTGTTCTGGACGATGCTCTCTTGCTTTTTTTGGATCTTCAATTGAGAGTCTCTATTTATATTGGACGGCTTTCTACTGGGTTGACAGTTCGCTTTCATTTGAGTGTCTATTCTATGGTGCTAAATTTTTTAATTTGATTTTGACTCTGTAAGTTTTCACATATGTGTGCTGCTGCATGTACTTTTGTGGTCCGTTTTATGCAGTGGATTTTGCAGCAGCACAGCATTGTTGGTTCTGCTGTGTCGTAAATATTACCATCATTTTCCCATATTTATTGTTACTATTACAAAAAGATCACATTTGGATGATTTATGTTTTGTATAAACGTGGGGTGTCTTCACTTCATGCTTATCTATTTTGAGGTATCGTTGATAAAACACATTATTACTGTCATTATTACCGTCCTTTGTCGTATAGAACGCATCACCTCAGCTAGATAAAAAAGCCATTCAAGATGCACTGTTATTATTATTGCGACATAAGTGATAAGTGAATATTCCTCAGTTGCATGAAAACCATCACACCTGTTTGAATCAAAATTTGTCTTCATATTAAAACGGGCTATTTCTGTTTTATGTAATATGCTAAGGTTTGGTGTTATAGTAGTGCGACAAAGTTAATTGCAATTTTCGAGTTTTTGAAGTCTTATTTAAGTTATACACTGGTCAGAAACTGTATTTTAATTTGGCGCTGCAACAATATACACCATAGTTGGCGTCTGACTCATATGCGTTTTGGATTACAAAGTGTAACGAAGGCGACAGGAAGGACTTCTATGCAGTTTTGAGTTCGCAATGTGCTATTGTTACTAAAAGGTCTGACAAGACCAATAGGAAATTCGCGAAAAGTGTTGGTTACCAAAGTAGAGCTGAGAAAAAGTTGCAAAGTTTAATGTGTCAAGCGAGCGATAGAACCAAAGATTTTCTGCACTTCCTAGCTAGGCCTTAGTTTTTCGATCCTATAAATACTTTCTGCAGATTGATGTAGTCCTTCCAATTTTTGCATATTCCCAATTTTGAGTACGGATAGTTTTTAGAAGTTGTTGACATCTTGGCCTAGTTTCATGCTCTCTCTCTACGTCTTTTTCTACCGAATATTTATAGAAAACGAAGTTACGCACTCTTTGAAAAGCTGAGATTTGGAGTGCATTAGTCCATTCTCGCACTTCGACATTGGTTGGCTATATTATTATAATTCGTCACTGTTCAATTCAGTGATAACGAGTTTGGTATTTTTGTCGGAGCATAGAATGCCTAGTTTTGAAGAGTTAGTTTTGAAGCCCAATACCATAGATAAGACAAAGTTAAGAAGGTTGCTGATATATATCACTCCAAATGCTAGGCTATTTGGGAATTTTCAGAGACTGAAATAGGTTGCATGTAGCAGCTGTTATTAATTAAGACAAAGGGTTGCTTTTTGACTACTCCGTATTAAATAAGAAGGAGGGCACAAATTCATTATTCATATAACCAGTTCTTTCTCTATTTTTTGAAAGTATTGCTCTGCTGTTAATTAGTCCTGATTTCAAATTGATGAAGTTTGTGCTGTTTATTGTCATTTCATTTTTTGATTTTCTTTCAAACAAAACATAATTGGTATGATTTGATAAAAAGTGAGGCTACAATAACGCCAAATGAATTTATCAGTGAGAAAAACGTCACAGGTAATTTCGAAAAAACATTTGTAAGAACCATTTTACGGAAATAAAAACAACAGATAGCATACGAGATTATAGCAAACATTGCTCTTTCACTTCAAAATTTACCATCTTATTATTTGTACTATCATATCTCGGACTTTTCATATAACTATCTAGTATGAGTGGAGTATGGGAAACAGTGAAGATTAACTATTTGGCGTCCGCTTAGAATATATTAGACGAAAAACCAAGCAAGTTCCTTGTCAAAACCACTAAATGGCTTGATTTCTTCTGGCTCGAGTTGTTCACTCCAAAATGCCAAAATGTGAAATGCACAGCAATCTTGCCAGGTTTAGGACCAACAGAATAAGCGTTCGCTCACACTCGCAAAAAAGGCCTATTCCTGCTAGAGAAAAATGAAAAAAAAATCTACAGATCTCTAGTCCGCTTCATATGTTCAGATTGAGAACATATGAAGCGGACTAGGAAGCATGAAGCCAGCCATGGAATCAACTTTAAAAAAATCTTTGAAATCAGCATAACTGGGGTAATTTTCTTCATAGTTTCACACTTTCGTTCACTTGAATTCAAGTCTGACATGTCCTTTCTGTAAATGAAAATTTGGATGTACAGGAACCGTTGGCAACGATATATACGATACTGCGAAAAACTTGAGTCAGAGACTTGAGTCAACTTAACCTCTGTTCTATAAGCCCAGTTGTAATCATTGACATCGCTGTATTTTTGCATCCAAAATGTTAAAGGCTATTAGGCAATATCTTGCTCTAACATAACTAAACAACTTGACATTTTTACTATTGTTTTCGTATACTTGATCAACTCAATGCAGAAGTCTCATTCTACTGATTTATCGATTCTGTATGTGATTAAAGCTAACAGAGAAAGAATTAATTGTTAGTAATGCAAATTACCGGAGTTAAGCGGTCACTAGGCAGATTATCAAGCAAAGGTAGATTTGCGAAAAATATTAGGTATAGCTAGATTTTTAACAGTAATTTATTGCTTTACTTATTCCAAACCAATTGTATTTCGCTTTGCAAGCCTTCACTGAACGAAAATTTACTGCTTATAATATTCCAAAGGTTTACCTTCTTCCCTTAAGCTTTTTCAATAACCAAATAACTGTTGTTGAAAATCAGCTATTGTTTGTGAGCAACGTGGCAGGTGAGCAGGCTTTTGCAATATCCGACCCATCAATGATCCTACCAACTTTCGTTTGATACTGCCTTTAACATTCTTTTTTCTTGCGTTACATTCAAAAATGCAATCAAAAAAAGAAGAAAGTAATTTACAAAGTAGCGGATAGGTTGTGATTTTTTTTTGTTGAGCCATACGAAATACGTTTTCATGACGTCATCGTTTTTCCACACATAGAGTCAACTTGTAGATACTAGTAATGGTGTGAAGATACGGTAAAAGTAACAGTATGAAGAGCAACAACTGCGCAACGATCATATGGTAAAGCCCGATCCCTTATCTAGCTCTGTCGAGAAAATAAACCAATCAAATGTTGGTAAGAGGGAAGTGATGATATAAGTGGTATTATTTCGTAGAGCAGTAAAGTCATGCTTCAGTATAAGATTTGTGGATTGCCGCCATTTATAGTCTACAAGCAACAAGATGTCATTCTCTAAACTGATATTACACAACGACAAAGAAACATTTAATATTGCGATGTCTGTATTGCGATTCTTCCTACTTTGGCTTATACTCATATTATAGCAGTATCAAGTTTGTCCAAGCTTTTATAAATCCACATTACTAAAAGTTCAGCCAACTGAAATTTAAAAGACCTCTTGGTAAATGTATGAGGACAACCCAGTTTTTTGATTTAAAAATGCATCCTCACTACTCACTTCTCCGAAAATACCGAGGAAGATAAAACGATATTTTTAGAGAGGCGTTGTATCACTTAAATTTGACTTATGGATTTGGAAAGACAGGAAAGAGAAGGAGGATAAAATTGGATTTAAGGAATTGCTATTGTTACTTCATGAAATTATAAAATTAATAGGAATTAAGTCAAAGTTCCCATGTGTAAGTTTATTACTATTCTCTCACGTATCTTACTTGTCTGGTTACATTGCAGAACTGGCTTAAACTTTCTCTTTTCAGCAATGATCAGGAAGGGGAATACTCTGAATCGTTCGCGCTTTGGATTATGTCGTACATCGACAAGAGCTAATCTTTATGGATTCAACTTATCTAATGTAAATAATTCAGAAGGCGATAATGATGATAGCGCACTCTTGTTGAACGTTCGCTTTATTCCAAACACTGAAGATATGTACCGGGAGTTTTGCAAGTGCAGCACTATTATTTGTGTCATTTCTATATGTATACTAATTGTACGATATGCTCTTTGTTGCATTCCTGTCTTCAACTATTGTCTGGACCTAAATTATCAGAAATTGTCTGGCGAATCTATAAAAGGATCAAGAAACAATAAAAGAGTGCAGAGAACAACAAAGAGCATTACAGAATAGTGAAGGAGACGAATTAAACAACCTTTCATTTAGGATACTGATGCATATCCGGGTTATGTTCCTATACCTCTTGTATCCTTCCAGTTTTAAGAATGGGGACAACCATTCATAATCCTGAGAAAACGCATACAGAGTTTATTTTAGTGTTTCCAAGCTAAATTCGTCAAACGATGAAGGTTTTCGTTCTTCCATTAGTCAAGGAACTTCAACTAATGTGAGTTTATTTTTTTAAACTTTCTCTTAAAATTTTCTCGCTTGGAATTTCAAAATTCTTCAATCACTGGTGCCGATCGCTACGAAGTAAGAAAGAATATAGTTTGTGCTGTTGAACATTTATTTTTATGGGCTGTGGTATTTCTTCTCAGAGGCGCAAGTGTTGCAAAAGTCAGTTCCCATGGCAAGAGATATCTTGAAAGAACATTGACAATAGATTTAGAGTTGTCACCACCATCCGGATATTAAAGACAGTGTACAAATAAAGGATAGTGAAGGCATGCAAGGATTACCTGCTATAATTCAGTCGAATTCTTTCAATTTAACTCATTTCATATCGATGATGTTCGTTAATTATTTAAAAAATATGCTTGTGGCATAGCATGAAATTTTATGAAAAAGAGAATTATGTATGGTGCATGTGGTGAACTTAAACTTACTAATGTAATATCCACAGAAGATGAAATACATAAACGTGATCAAACAGAAACTCGTAATCTGGAGATTTCAGAATCATTTGTCCGCGATACGTGCAGCAATTACTGGAGATGCACTCCAATTGCTATATCTGATCAACATTTTGAAAGTGTCTGTGAATACAGCTAATTCACAGGGCATAACTTTACTTCACTGGGCTACTGCAAATGATCATATTGCTGTTGTTCAGTTGTTGTTGAGGTATACCTATCTATTGACGTTTAGTTCCTTATATCTCAGGACCAAATTTAAAGGTTAATTTATATCTGTTTAAGACGGCTGAAGTCCTTGAATCATCACCCGATTTCATCACTCAGTAGTAATTTTTTTAAGCCTTGGCGCTGATTTCCGACTTACTACGGTAAAGAGTCGTTCTGTACTCCATACTGCTGCTTGCAATGATGCTACAAGTTGCTTAAAACTGTTTTTGAAACTTTCTTTTGAACAAGAAAAGACGGTATGTAGATTTTCAGTACAAATTTATTCTTTTATTTTTTCCGTGTCTTTAACTGATATTATAACTTGAGGCTTCCGATTTCTCAACATGTGTTATTTAAACGTCTTGTTTTAGGACGGCATGAAAAGAAATAGTTGTGGAACATTGAACAAATTTATATTGCAACGTGACTTTAACGGCGATAATTTACTGCATTTGGCATGCAGGTTACGCAAAAAACGTTGTTTAAAAGTTGGTAGCGCGTATTTTGTTTGTAAATTCTTCATCAAAGGTGTCTCATATCAAACTCGGCTGTTTATCTTCCACGTTGGAAAATAAGTCCTTTTTCGAATTTCTGCGATTCGCAAAATTTTATCCTATGTGCAAATACCAGTCATATGCCCGTTATAATTACCCGATCACTGTATGTCATAACTTCGAGAATCGAACCATACACTGGCACATTTTTGTCGGTCTTTTACTCCTTTGATGAATGTCAAATTATGACTATTCATAATACTTAGATATCGAAAATGTACAAAAATCGATTTTGCGTAGAATGGCTTCAACACATCGATTTCATTTTTAGCGGTTACTCGGTAAGGATTTACGTTGCAGATTATATTAAGCTTCATCATTAAATATTTTGGATGGATAGTGGTGGAAGAGATGTTACAGCAATGCAATCAAGACAATCAGACACCAGTACATGTAGCGTGTCTTTGGAATAGTGTGGAAGCTGCAGATTTGTTACTGACTGATAATCTCAATAAAATCGTTAACAAAATTTGTAATTTGACGAAGAGAACTAATATTGCAATTGCTCTTAGAGAAACATCGAGACGAGCACTATTCTGGAAAATTGGGCGGTTAGAAACTAGAAATGTACTTTTGTAAAATATCTTTATTGTATCGTAATATACCATATTTACTGTTACCATGCAACTGTGTAATGTTAGTAAAGTTGGCGACATTGTTTGTTTCATTTTATTTATTGTTTATTTAGAGGCACAGTGCTTCACGAAATGGCGACAGCGAAATGCAGTTTTGCCTGTTTCACTGAAAATTCTCCGTCATTATTGGAATATGACAGTAAGTTGGAAGCAGCAGAGTTAAAAACGTACTTACTTGGT